AATTACCATAATTCAGCTATTTGTGAATTATGGTAATTCGTGCAAAAATGCGCAAGAGAGAAAATAGCTTCCTTCAAAACTAAAATAGTAGAAAAAGCTAAAAATCGTTTTTTGAAAGAGATTGGATCTTTCGCTTTTCGATTTTGATTAATGTATTCACGAATGTTATGAATAACGTCTTCAGATAATAAGATATTTGAATTGAAGGCGATAAAATTAATTATGGTTTTTAAATAATGAATATTGACGAAAAAAGCCTTGAAAGGTATAATTACGGAATCTAAGTTGTATAATTTTATAAATAATATTTTAATAAATTATATTTTATTAAATAATATTTTATTTTTTTAATAGGTTTATTAATTTTGTAATTTCTACAAATAAATAAATTAATTAACTTTACATTTCCTACAAATTAATTAATTAATTAATTTTGCAATTTCGTCAAATTTTTATTGTAAAGATAATAAATTTACTACTTTTCGTAGGTTCAATGCTCGATTCCGCAATTACAGTTACAGTTTTGGGGGGATATGGAGCAACAAAGGTATTATCCCTCTCTATTCCACTAAAAATTAATTATGAAGAATAATGAATGCTGCTGCGTGTTAAGGGAAGTTCATCTTGAGAGCCATGAAGTCTCATAAGATGTTCTATTTATCTAACTATTATTTGAAATTACTAGTCTCACAAGCGCTCATGTTACTCTAAGGCTATGAAAAAAAACCCCGTTAAATTTTGACTTTATTGTCAAAATCAAATACCGCCGTACTCACGTAATAAATATACCGTCGATTAATTTCGTCAAATCAAAAAGCATCGCCAAATGCCTCGATATACAGCCAATAGTGGAAACCTTTTTATTTCTAATGGGCTGAGGATTGGTATTTTACAACTGCAGACCTAGTTCATTCCCCGGAAGCTGGTATTTCTTTTTACTGCGACACCATATAGGCGGATACCAATCGCCGCAGGTAATTTTTGACACCCAGTTTCCTCCCTAGGGGGAGGCACCTGAGCTCTGACGATGCAAACCTGTACTTAGGATTTAATTTTGCCGAGAGCACCCGGGCCAAACAGACACTCTAGGGATCTTTTGCATGCTGTGTGACAACAATGACGTTGTCAATTTACTGCATCATGCAAATCCACCGACTTGGGCCGGGATCTCGAACCCGCAATCTTAGGTTAAGAAGACAATCCAAACGACTAATGACATCGTCAGTCGGTTCTGGGAGACTCAGCGCCAAATGGTCAGGAAGCCAAGCACGAGTGTTGGATAAATAAAAAATAAATAGTTCTCCATTCTCTTCTGAAATTATACAGCTAGAGCAAAAATCATAGCAGACGCAGATTTTCTTAGCGATGACTTTTATCTTTAAAAAACACTTGCTTTTCCGTATTGTTGGTATTAACGTTACCCCGCGGAGAAAAAGGAGTGTTTATTAACGTCCCACTTAAGGCAACATAAAGGCTATTAGTGATGGACATCATAATTTTAACCGTTGTCAAGTGACGCAAGCGAAAGATGAGCTACCACCTCACTGACCAAACCTCCAAACCATACGAACGTGAAGACTTTGAGCCATAATCAGGGGCATAGCTACCACCGTTTCACCATTATCAATAATAGAGAGCCCCCATGTGTGACTATAATCCCGTTAACAGGGCTCCCATACCAAAAAAAAAAAAAAAAAAGGTCCCGAAGGATTTTTGATACAGGGTCTACTCAGAACTAGCTACGCCACTGGCCATGATGGATGATTGTAATTGCCACAAATGCCAATTGACCACAAATGTAGACATAATGAAATATTTATAAGCAAACTTTGAGTTATGCATAACTTGTCTACTCAAACAAAGAGGCGGTGGACTGTAATTTTAAATACTGATTTATTGAGCGACAGTTGGTGCGACGTGCTCCGTGGCTAGAGTCTACAGCAAGGGTGTCAGACTCAATGGCTAACTTGGGCCAAAAAAACAAGATTTACCCTTAGTTGGGCCGCAAAGAAAAATCAGGGTCTACTCAGGACTAGCTACGCCACTGGCCATGATGGATGATTGTAATTTTGCCACAAATGCCAATTGACCACAAATGTAGACATAATGAAATGTTTATAAGCAAACTTTGAGTTATGCATAACTTGTCTACTCATACAAAGAGGCGGCGGACTGTAATTTTAAATACTGATTTATTGAGCGACCGTTGGTGCGACGTGCTCCGTGGCTAGAGTCTACAGCAAGGGTGTCAGACTCAATGGCTAACTTGGGCCAAAAACAAGATTTACCCTTAGTTGGGCCGCAAAGAAAAATCAGGGTCTACTCAGAACTAGCTACGCCACTGGCCATGATGGATGATTGTAATTGCCACAAATGCCAATTGACCACAAATGTAGACATAATGAAATGTTTATAAGCAAACTTTGAGTTATGCATAACTTGTCTACTCAAACAAAGAGGCGGCGGACTTTAATTTTAAATACTGATTTATTGAGCGACAGTTGGTGCGACGTGCTCCGTGGCTAGAGTCTACAGCAAGGGTGTCAGACTCAATGGCTAACTTGGGCCAAAAAAACAAGATTTACCCTTAGCTGGACCGCAAAGAAAAATCATTATTCATAGAAACATAAGCTTATTTTGAATAATAAATTATAATAAACATATATTAGAGAACAAGAAAAATTCAATGCTTACATCCTGACACTTGACATCTCTTCTCTGTTACTCTCTTTCCCATTTAGAGAGAATTTTTGATACTTAATTATGTATTACTGTATGGTGATATACTGGCCGGTCAGTAAAAATTTTCGTTGTGACCCGTGAGTTTGACACCCTTCCTCGACAGGAATACTGAATACAAATTGTAAGCAAACAATGACTACTTACGCCATCCGCACATGCGGGACGAAACAATGGATTTAACGATCATCAGCCTATCTACATGGTGGGTTTTCAGGGGTACTAGGGTTCAAACCCTAGTCGCTGCCACAATTGTTTCTGGTAATGAATTATTTAACTTGGAAAAACAGAGGACAGCATAATACTACACCCGAAGAGAACAACACAACATTTCTAACTTCTATTCCATGTCGTGCAAGAAATGGAATATCCAATTTTATTTAAACTATTCCTTCCCCAATTATAGATTAAAATTTCCCAAAACATGATCAGAACTCATGTTCACCATCTTTGGTTACAAATATTTTTTTTGTACAGCTTTTTCAATTCCTACTATTTTTTAGTCCACACTCTCCATATACATACATATATACACTGCTCAAAACAATTAAAGTATATTGTAAGTTTTAAATAAAATAAAGATATAAGCGAAATTTTCTTTGCCGAAAATGGAAGAAGTGAATCACAAATGCAAATTTTTCTGATTTTCAAACAGTGGAGTATGCTAATTTTGAGTTTGACGTCAAAAACGTCGCTTCAGCGGCAGCGAATGAAATTTGACTTTCAAATGAAATGAAGACAAGGATGATCGGCATTCAGTGACTGCTTTGTTTCGATGAGTACGATGTCTCAGCGAAGTCATTTAACCGAATCTGAAGCTTGGAGAGTTGTTGGTAGGTTAGAAGGGGGCCAAACTCGCAAGCCATTGGAGTGTCACAAAGTGTGATTTCCAGGATCTGGAACCGTTTTTTGGAGACTGGAAGTGCAGGCCGAAGACCAGGACAAGGTCGTAGACGGGCAACAACGCTCAATGATGATCGTTATTTAGTGTTAACGGCTCGGAGACACCGAAATATGAACGCTACTCTTCTCCAACAATACCTTCGCTCGGCTACTGGCACCACGGTTTCAACTCTGACTGCCCGAAACCGGTTCCATGATGTAGGTCTGTATGCTCGCCGACCGATGGTATGTGTTAGACTAACATCAAGGCATCGTCGCGACCACAGGGAGAGGGCAACAGAGTATGTGAACTGGAGGAGAAATGAATGGAGCAATGTTCTTTTTTCTGACGAGTCCCGTTTTTCTGTTCAACCAGATAATAGGCGTATTTTCATCTGGAGGGACCGTGGCAGTAGGAATAATCCTGAGTTCGTGCACGAAAGTGTCAGATTTGGCGGTGGGGGAGTGTTGGTGTATGGTGGCATCTCCATTGACGGGCGCAAAGACCTCTACATTATTCGAGATGGATCTCTGACTGCTCGCCGATATAGGGATGAGATCCTCAGACCTATTGTAGTCCCTTACGCTGCAGCAATTGAAGATGACTTCATTTTAATGGATGATACCTGCAGGCCACATCGTGCTAACCTGGTGGAGGATTTCCTTTTCGAGGAAGGAATCGTACGAATGGAATGGCCAGCGTGTTCTCCAGACATGAATCCAATAGAGCACGTTTGGGACGCTGTAGGAAGACGAGTTGCTGGCCGCCAACGCCCCCCACAAACTCTCCAAGAACTGAAAAGAGCTCTTCTGGAAGAGTGGGACAGAATGCCCCAACTCGTGATTAATAGCCTCATTGACTCCATGCCTCAAAGGTGCTCAACGTTGCTGGCCGTCCGTGGAAACCATACGCCCTACTGAAAATGATTTCCTTTGAAGAAAATACCTTTTCTTATTCTTTTTTTCTCATATGCACAAATTGTGTTTTTTTCCTTTTGTACACAAATGCGCAATAAAATTCACTTTTTTCTGCCAAACATGTGTAATTTATTCTCATGTAACCTACTACGTCTGTCGACCACGTATCAATCAGCTAAAAAGTTTTCCAGCCACAAGATCCACCTAAAACTGCAATATCCTTTAATTTTTTTGAGCAGTATATATACATATCTTATTCAAAATTTTTAAATCGTTAATAAAATACTTTTTATTCACTCATTCAAGTTCAAATACATTCTTTTAAACTTGTACTGGACGACACTTGATGTTCGGACAGTTTTTCAAATATTAATTCATTAGTTAAATGAAAAAATGAATAAATAGTAATAAACAAAATTAATAGTCCAACAGCATATATAGAAATGAAAATCGTACGTCGTGTCCCTGTAGCGTAATGGATAGCGCGCGCGTTGAGCTTCTAATTCAAAGGTCGTGATTTCGAATCCCACCTGGGATGGCCTGATTTCTGAGAATGTAATGTCTCCTTTACTAAACTATTTTATTAGAATAATTAAATTTAATGAATGAATTAAAAGTAACAAACAACAAAAACTAGTCCAACACCATACATAGAAAGGAAAATGGAAAACTCTCTACTATGTCACTTAATATTGTGATTCTGTCATATGTATATACATATTTATATTAATATTGTAACTGTTTAATAAAACACAACTAAAAGTAGGACTAATGTAACCTATATATATATATATAGAAGTAGGAATTGACTTACAAACTTTTTTTTTATATTGCTTGTTTTTCATGATAAACAAACTTAAACAGTTAAAAATATAATTTCAATCAGCTCCCTTTTCTTGTATAAAAACTTACTTCTTGGTTTATTTTTCAATTCCTACTATTAGCTCAACTCTCGATACATTTATTTATTTATGTTCGTGGAATTTTCATTCGTTAATAAAATTCATTTTAAAGCGCTCAATTGAGCCGAAGTTTTATATACATGACTATTTTGGATGACAACACAGTAACTTAATTCTAATTAATAAAAATAATTGATTAAAACTAATTATTGAAAGAATTACAAATACAGCCACGTTGGCATCATTTTTGTGACTTAGCGACCATTTTAGCAACTTGTGTCAAAACATGAAAATGTTTTTTTCCTCACATTTTAAGGCGCTCGTTTGAGCTGCAATTTTCTGTACATTATTGTTTTGAATAAAAATACGATAATTTAATTAAAATTAATTAAAAATTGACTGAGACTAATTAATTAAAGAATTACAGATACAGCCATATTGGTTTCATTTTTAACGACTTGGGTCAAAATTTTAAAAGATTTTTGTTCTCACGTTTTAAAGCATCCAGTTGAATTGAAAATTTTACATACACTATATACACGTTTGTTTTGGATGACAATACGATGCTTTAATGATAATTAATAAAAATTAATTACCACTTAATGTTGCGATTCTGTCAAATGTACATACATATTTATATTAATTGTAACTATTTAATAAAAAGTAGCAAAAATAAAATTTTTCTTTGTTGATCTAAGTAGAAATTGACTTAAAATTTTTTTTGTATTACTTGTTTTTAAATAAAAATTATTAAGTTTTTATTGCCACTTCAAAAAATATCCTAATTATAAACATTTGTCGAACTTAAACCCACCACATGAGACTTTTTCTCAATGAAAGAAAATAAGTTCCACGTGTGTGTGCAATATAAAAAAAGATTCATAGTAGTGGGGATAGGAGAACCATAAAGCTCTGCAAAGTATCAATTATCTGTCGTTTTAATCTCTTGTCTCTTTCCCCCTACTTTGTCGATATTTCCCTTGTGGTTTTGATCATCCAGCTTCATTTATAAAAACCCTTTAGTTTTTTTCAGAACTGAAGAGAGTGGAAGAGTCTCAGGAAAAAAAAAGGAAAAAGTTAATGAGAAGGGAAGAAGTAGAGAAAAAAATTATCCCTGTAGCGCTCTTCACAATGAAGATGAGTGGCAGTTGCTTGAGCGATAAAATGTTTAGCGATAGAATACCCATTAATGTCATTCAGCTTATTCCCTGATCACAACCATGGGTTTCTTGAGCGGTAGGTTTCGCTTTTTCATAAATTGTGATTGTTTTAATGGATACACTTTTGAAAAGAATCCCGAAAGTAAAGCGATATTTATTATTAGTTTTTTTAAAAAATTTTTGGTTGTGCATATAAGTTTATATAATATACGAGAAGGATTGTTTAAGTAGTACCGCAACCAGAAACAGTGATGTATCTTTTAATTTTGTGTCGTGGTTAAGTGGTGAGGACGACAGCTGAACTAGCAATCCATTCCCCAATTTCTCACACTTTGGAGACCCCCCTGGGTCTCACCTTGACATTAAGATTAATTTGAGGCAAAGAACCACTAAGAGCCATTTTGAATAATAATAATATTTATTTATTATTTTCAATTTATCAAAAAAAACCTCTAATAACATATAATACTTTTATGTTACGTCTAATAAAGGGATTTACCTTTATACTAAATTAAATTACGAATGATGCAACTAATTAATAATTACGCTCAATATCAAGTAAGGTCTACCGAAATAGGAGATCCGAGAAATACACGTACTCTCGAATTCTTAACTCTCTCTTTCATTAACTTTATCTAATTCAACTAAACTGACGCTTATTTTAAGCGTACGTAAATTATATTTACTGCTGGCTTATATCAGCTTTCTGGTACTTCCGTCGAATAGCAGCACGACGTCTTCACGATTCTAATATTCTGGAATCCTCTAATATTGCGGTTAAAGTTGCTGGCTCAATAGCCTTCCATCATCTACGTTGCTAGCTTACAACGTTCGACTTAAATACCTTATCTATTTTGCATATCCCGTTCATCTTTCTGGAGTTGATTGGAAATAAACGCGAATTTATATTCCCCAAAAAGACGCCTAAGAAGATTAGTGGAAAGGTTCCGTACAGAATCGTCACAACACCATGCCAAAAGGACTATGATCCTCAACAGATTTAACGCATATCTGCGTGTTTCGATTAGTTTATCAACGTTTCCCTCCAGCGTTTCTCAAACTGTGGGACGCGACCCCTTTGGGGGGGATACGTGGTAACTCTACGAGGGAGCAAGCATATTGAGAAATCAAAAACAAAAGATTATTTAAAAAATTATCAATTTATTGAAAGTAAATAAACAAAAAATATATTCTGGCATAGTAAAAAATAAAATGCACTTTTACGCTGACATAATGCACCTACAAATGCATCAGTACTGCACAATGTATTTAACAATTAACTTAACAATACTAAGTTAAGAGCAAGTTTAATAATTACAAGCGACCCCACGAGCTTGCCATATAGAAAGTTATATACAAAAACCAATATCTTGATCATTTGTACAGTTTATAATTAATCCCTTTACGGGCGATTAAAAATTTCGTGATTTGCTCTCTAATACCGTCCTTTTCCACGTAAGCGCGCGTGTGGGATGTAATGAGGGGGGGATGAGCAAATATCCTCTGAAATAAGTAAATCCTTCCAACCACTGTCAATGCATTTTTATTGCATTCTGAAGCCTTCTGAAAAATATACGTTTTATATACGCCGGTGACACTTAAGAGGTTCAAGTCGTATTGTAGATGTTGCTTCAAATTAAACTACATTGTGTTCAATACCTAGTTATTTATGGAGGGTGAGTGAGGGGGTGATGAGAACTATGATTGAATATTGGGTCACAAACATTGAAAGTTTGAGAAGCACTGCCTTACTTTGAAGCTACACATGAGTTATTTGTGATGAACCGCATAATTTTGAACTTTAGTTAGAGAAAGAAGGCCCTTGAGGTAGCATGGAACTCTCCAGGTTTTCACACCATATCAACGTGAAGACTTTAAGCCAGAACAGATTTAATGGTCATCGGCCCTTGTACACGACAGGCTTCCAGTGGTCTCGGTGCTTAAGTGCACAATTTGGCAATGTCGGCCACGAGTCAGAGATGATGGTTGTCAGATGAACACTTGGCTATCGTGGTCACAGCTTTTCGACACACCGTGTCGTATGTGGCATTAGGGTTTCAACGCAGGACTCGTTAGAAACTATGCACACCACAAGTCGAAAATTATGTCCACTAGGTAACCGCAGTTAAGGTATCCGACTACGTTCAGAAACGTGATTATTCAAAAGCGTGTAAATGGATAATATTTACGATAGTTAGTGTCACTTAGATTAGAAAATGTATATAAAATTGTTTTAAGAATAGTATTACGTTAAAAAATTATTTAAGTATAATATTTTGACAAAAAATGAGCATAGAATGACCCATTTTCAAAATCTCCTTTTGTGAAAAAACGCTTCTATTATAATAATACTATTATAATAATCTGTATTTACCTCAGACCTTTGTACAGAGGCTCAACTAGAATTTTTGAAATATATAATTTAGAAGTGGGTTTATCCATGTTTTACGACAACAAAGGGGAGAAATTTTAAGAAAAAAACGCCGATAATTATTTCAATTCCTTGTAACTTTGAAAATAATGTGAATTTTTAAAAAATCATAGTTGAGCCTCTGTACAGAAGTCTGAGCTATTATACAGGAAAAATAGTATTATAATAGAAGCATTTTTCCCAAAAGGAGAACATTTTGAAAAAAGATTATTCTAAGTTCATTTTCTGTCGAAATATTCTATTATTCGAATAATTTTTTTGTCAAAATGTCCTTAAAACAATTTTATACATGTATTATAATGTAAGTGACACTAAATATCATGAAAATTATCCATTTATGCGCCTTTTAAAATCATATCTAATCCATATATATCTTACAGAATCATGAATAATTTTTAAGGAAAGAAAAATACTATTGGCCATAAAATTTTCCTAATTGTATTTTAGGGGTAAAACACTTTAGAGCCGCTGGCTACGCGTGCTATGTCTTTTTTATTAGACCCCGGAAAAAAATGTAAAAAGATAGAAACAAAATCTGTATTCACCAGTCCTTCATCTTGCCAACATATGCAAACAAATAAAGGATAGCGGCCTTATGAAAGTTGAGGATCTCTTTGTCTAAGACAGTAAAAGGTATAAACTCTTAAAATTTGTAAAAAAAAAGATAGAGAGCTAAATTACAAAATGCAATGCACTCGAAGGGAAATTGTAAGCTTTTAGAATTCTTTAAGTACATTTATACATCCAACTTTAAATGCATTTTTCACTTCCCCCTGAAATGTTTAGTATTAAACTTAAAAAGAAAATATTATACTTTAATAGTTTTAATATTTTAATAATTTATTATTTATAATAATATACAGTGGTGGTCGAAATTGAGGACACTTTTTAAATTCTTTATGTCTTTTTAAGTTTGCATGCATATGCAAAGTTTTACGTTGCACAAAATGCAAAGTATTTTACATCATTTTGAAGATAATTTAATACTAAATGCAATACACACAAAAACAAAATTCAAATATTTGCAACGCAAAAAAGTGATGCT